TATCACTTAACAGTAATTGCAGTAGGTAACTGTGCAACCCCTACTTTTGATGTGATTTGCCTTCACTGTTAAACTCCTTTCCCTCCTGCTCCTAGTAACCGCTTTATTCTCTGTATACTTTTCTTTTCTTATCTTTGTGCCTTTGTAATTGACTTATTTCACTCAGCATAATATTTTCAAACTCCATTTATATTGTAGCATGAATCAGGATTTCGTTTTTACTACTAGCTGAGGGGTATGTATATAACACTTTTTGTTTATCCATCATCTATTGATGGGAATTTAGATGAGGGAAATTGGAACCCTTATCAGCTGTTATTGAAAACAGTGTGGTGGTTTCTCATAAAAACTAAATGTAGAACTACTATGTGACCAGAAATTTCACTCCTAGGTACATTCCCAAAATATTTCAAAGTAGACACTTGTACGTCAGTATTAATTGCAGCACTGTTCCATTTCATTTTTGACAATTTTTGATCACCCTCAAACTGTCTTTCTAGAATGTGTATTCTTATATGGATTATGCTGAAGGTTTTAGAAATTTCATGATATTTATAGCATATTCTATAAATTTTTGAAGTCCTGGTATGGCATTGTGGGCTATTGTGCTGGACTGCAAAGTCGGTTTGAACCTCAAGGCTGGTAGCTCAAGCTCACCAACCGCTCTTCGGAGACCCTATATAGGGTCACTATTGGTTGGAACTGACTCAAGTGCACTTAACAACAACATAAAGGTTCACCAGAAAACAAAAAGTTTATAAATACGTGTGTTTGTGCTTGGTGTTTCTGTAAAAATGAGGGGGCTTCAGAAAGTTAGTGGGAAAATTCCAGTATCTTTTTATTCCATTTTCCATAAACTTTTTAAAACCTCTTTTTATATACATATATACATGGAGCTCTGGTAGCGTAGTGGTTACGAATCGGGCTGCGAACCGCAAGGTCAGCAGCTTGAAACTACCAGCTGTTCCGCGGGAGAGAGAGAGATGAGGCCTTCTGCTCCCGTAAAGATGTACAGCCTCGAAACCCTGTACAGGGTCGCTATGAGTCGGAACCGACTTCATGGCACATAATTACCACCGTATATATATATTTGTTGTTGTTATGTGCCGTGGAGTCGATTCGTTACCACAACGCTACCAGAGTGCCTTCTATATATTATATATATATATACACACACACACACACACATACACACACACACAGATAGCGAGCGAGCATGCTGAAGGCAAATATGGTAAATTTTGACAAAGACACAATGGGTTGAATTTTTTCAACTTTGTATATGTTAAGGATATTGATTTTTTTTTTTTTTTTAAACTTTCTATATGTTATGGTGCAATAGGATAATCACTGGAGTGATAACCATAAGGTCAGAAGTTCAAAGCAAATGAGTATCTCCACAGGAGAAAGATGAATATTTGTGCCATTGTAGGTTAAGCACTGGGCTGCTAACCACAAGGTTGGTGGTTCTAACCCACCAGCCGCTTTTTGGAAACTCTGTACATGAGGTGGAACCAGCTTAACAGCACTTAACAACAACAACCACAACAAACATTAGCAGCCTCAGTACCCTATATAGGGTCTATGAGTTAGAATTGACTCGATGGTAGTGATTGGGTGGTGCAGTGGTTAAGTACTAGAATCCTAATCAAAAGGTTAATGGTTTAAACCCATCAGCCACACTGAGAAAGATAACTGCTTTTCTAAAGATTGTAGCCTTATAAATCCTTTGTGGTAGTCTATTCTGTCTTGTAGGGATAAGGAGGAATCCACCTGCTGGAAATGGACTTGTTTTTTGTTTAAAAATTGTTTGAAACGAAAATAAAATAAAAAAATGACCAAAAACACCGGAAGTGCAAGTAGGAACTAGCCATCAGGGTGAGAAAATTTTGCTGTACTTCTGTTCACAATGTTGTTGTTAAGTGCTGTCGTGTCAGTTCCCACACATAGAGACCTGGGTAAGGTTTCCAGGGAGCAGCTGGTAGTTTTGAACTGCTGACCTGTTAATTCACAATCCAGTGCTGATCCTACAGTGTCACACCAGGAGTCCACAATAGGCCCAGTTATTCCAACAATAGTCACCTTCTGTGTTAAAAAATAACTTTGGTAACTGAATTTTTTTAGTACCTTAAACTTAAGTGACTAATCTCAAATTTCATTTTAATTTTATTAGTAGGTGAAATCAGAAATCAGCTAGCAAAAAAGGAAAGGGAAATGTATATTACACACAAAGGCAAAATAAAATCCAAAGCCAGTGATGCTGCATGGAAATTTAGACATTTATTGTTGGTGTCATTACAATACTAGATTAAAGTCTTGGGATGGCAAATTGAGATTTGGAACTAAGACACCTAAACTGTGTATGCCTTTTAACCTAAAGATCTTATTTCTCAAAATAGATCTAATTTAGAAAAAAATGACATTGTCTAATCTCAGGATAATAGTTTTTAATATAGCATTCTCTTAGGCCTCAAGACATAAAACAATTAAGACAATACAAAAAAACCACAAAACCATGCACGCTCACTTGGTAAAAGCAATCTTACTGACATTATAAAACAAAACAAAGAAATAAAACCTTCTTTATTTTTTTCTTTATTTATAGTTCGTTTTCTTCATTTTCCTTTTTCTTCTCCTTCTGCCTCTTAATTGGAGGAGATGCTCAAAGATCTGGCTTTGACCTTCATATTATTTTCCTTAGTTGACAATTTTAACTAATCATGGCTTTCTACTATTATTTGCATATAGATAGATATGTTGGAAATTCAAAATTCTAGTCCTGTTCTCTTTCATGATTCTATTTGTAATTCTAGTATTTTCAACTGTTCACTTTTTATATTTTGAATATCCTTTCCCAAGGTCCAGTGCTGTACATCTAAAAATATTTTATTTATTTTTCCTCTTATTGACTATTCTTTCTTCTTTGGCCTATATGCTCTTAAAATCTTTCTGTCAGCTCTGAGATCTTCATCTTTTGTTCTTTAAATTTTCAGCTTTGGTTTTTAAATATTTCCCCCCTCAAATCTTTTTCCTTTCATTTTCTTCATCTTTCCTTGTTTTTGAGCCTTTCTTTCTTTCTTTTTTTTTTACCTCTACCTGACCATTTTCTTTTTTAAGTATTTCCAGATCTCATTTATCCTTCAAGACTTTGTTTTCTGATTTGCCTTTCAGATGGAAGTAATCTTTCCTGGGAATTTAATTCCCAAAGGCTTTTTCTGTTTCTTTGTTATTGTACTTATTATCTTTTCCATTTGTTTTATGCGTATTTTACTTGATGTTAACTTCTTCAGGATCTGATTCCTTTCTCATTCTTATGTTTCCTATGTTCATTATCAGGTACCTAATCACTTATTGAAGGATCTCTAGTAGTGTAGTGGATTACAAGCTGGACTGCTAACCTCAAAGTCAGTAGTTTGAATCTTTCAGTCACTCTTTGGGAGAGAGATGAAGCTTTGTGGAAACCCTATATAGGGTCACTATGAGTCAGCACTGACTCGGTAGCACATTACCACCACCATCACTCAGTTATTATATATATTAATTAAGTAAATTGATATATGATGAGCTGTCTTGTTTTGGATATGTTTTTTAGCTGAGAAAAAGTGACAGAATTTTGAGAGTGTTTCATTATAATAACAAACACAAAAGATTATGTGTTCTATGTTGTTGACATTATTGCCTGCTGTCCAGTTGATTAAGTCTCATAGTGACTCTAAAAGATAAAGTAGAACCACCTCATAAAAGTTTCCCAGGTTGAAAGTTTTACAGGAGCAGATTGCCACATCTTTTCTCCTACAGAGCAGCTCGTTAGTGGAAGAGTAGGGCACTTAACCATTGTGTCACTGGGGCTCCTCATATATTTCAGAAATACCTACAAAAACATGCATGTGAGGAGCTGTGCAAAAAAAAGAAGGGAGAGATGTATATAGTGGTTCAGTGGCAGGGTTTAATTCCCTGCCAAGGGACTTCATGCCCAGCCACCACTTATTTCTGTGGAGGCTTTTCTGTTGCTTTGAGCCTGAACTATTTCAGTAGAACTTGCAGACTAAGATAAACTAGGAAGAAAGGACTGGGGATTTCTGAAAGTCAGTCAGTGAAAACACTCTGGGTTACAGAAGTCCAATCTAATTCAGGAATTTGCAGTTTTTTGTTCTGTTGTGCCTGGGGCAGCTATGAGTTGGGGACCGACTCAAGCATAACTAACAGCAGTAGATGGGACCTTGTATTGCTCAATTAAACCATTCGTAGACATAAAACAGAATCTTTAAAGCCATCTAGACTAGGCATGAATTCCTGGTGTGCCGCTCTAGGATCAGTCGTTCAAACTCACCAGCTGCTCCTTGGAAACCCTAAATAAGGCAGCTATGAGTTGGAACTGACTCGACAGCATTAAACAACAACAACAGACAAGGCATGTGTGGTCTAGTGTTAGAATTCTCACCTTCCATACTGGAGACCTCGGTTTGATTCCTGGCCAATTCACCTCATGTGCAATCAGTCAGTGGAGGTTTGCAGATAGCTATGTGGAACAAGTTAAGCCATTCTTCCAGAGTAAGATAGACTAGGAAGAAAGGCCTGATTATCTACTTTGGAAAATCAGCCAATGAAAACCTAGTGGACCACTGCTAATTGTGGGACAAGCTCTGGACTTGGGCAATTTTTTCTTCTGTTGCGCATGAGGTTGCCTAAATTTTGTTGTCAACTCAATGGCAGCTAATTGTAATGACAACAGAATAGATAATTGACTTAGCAGTATGTTCAGTCATTCAAACATTAATGCAAGACCTCATTAAAAAAAACATGATTTCTTTGTTATTTTACAATATGCAGCTCACATTTTATGTACTTCTAAGTTAATATTGAAATTTTCTTTTTAGGTCTTCATGATTCGTGTAGGAGACTGTACCCACTTACATTTTTTTGTTAATGACAGGTTCTTTTTGTTTAAGCCCTGTATTGTTCTGACAAAGGTTATATTTAGAAAATATTATGTTTTGCAGGTATCATGGTCAGATATAGGAGGACTGGAAAATATCAAACTGAAATTGAAACAGGCTGTGGAGTGGCCCTTGAAACATCCAGAATCTTTCATACGAATGGGTATTCAGCCACCTAAAGGAGTTCTTCTGTATGGACCACCTGGATGCTCTAAGACAGTGATAGCAAAGGCTTTGGCCAATGAGAGTGGACTTAATTTCCTAGCTATAAAGGTAGAGTGTTAAATTTTTTAATGACTATTCTTTCCCTGCTGCCTCCCTCCCACCTTTGGAGAAAATATAAAGAGCAATGGGTTTGTATTTGTGTTAATGACAATATTTAGAGACAAATAAATTAGTGTATGTAAGCAAGAAACCATAGTAATCAATGAGAGGATGGTTTTATTTATATTTAGCTTCTGGATTCTTGCTATTTCTTAGATTTATGTGTAACAGAAACTGATCTTTAGTTTCTGCAGTTTTAAATTGTATCAATGACTTTTTCTTAATCAAGACCTAATTATTAAAATTGTGAATTTACTATTTACATGCTTAGAATTTTCGAGTACATTATATATTGTATACCATAAAACTCTAAAAAAAATTTAAATCATGTTTCTGCTAGTCAAAGTATATATGTGTCTGAACTTTGTTTACTCTTTAAAAATCATTATTTTTAACAAAGTCATTTGTATTTGCATATTTTTAATTCTTTTTGAGGGAAGGTATTGAAAAATGAAAATATGGAGATAAATTTTTACCATGATCAATTATGTTGAATCACTACTACATTTTTGCCCTAACATTTTTGCACTAACATTTGTACAGTTGGGGTAATGAGTGATTAAAAAATTTCTGTAGATAACTGCTAAATTTCCTGTTTTTCTTACCTCTTGGTAATGGGGCGTGGTTATCAGACTCACATTTCCAATGCTTTTTATTGACATCTCATTTTTATTACTATGTTGTAGCTTCACAATTATGTATTAATGTATTTGAATTTTTCTTGTCTGTTCTTATATTTGACTTTTTCTTGTCTATTAGAAATCTGCTGGAATGACATAATTGATGAACACCTAGGTTACAGTGATTTAGATTTGAATCTTAAAGAAGAACACATGTTTTTTGCAGACTAGTATCTTATTCTTTTGTTGTTAAAGCCAGCAGTTCCAGATGCTACCAGGACTGCTTTCAGGCCTGCCCTGTTATATTTATAATAACTTTTGAATATTAAAACTTTGAGAACTAAAAGAGACATTTCTCTTTTAGTCTTTACCATGAGAAAATGATATTCTTTGAATGTTTTATCTTATATACTACTCATGTAAATTTACTAGTTATGTGACTAGTAATTTGAATTTTTTAAATTAGATTTTTAATTATTTTAGTTCACACACAAAAGATAAATGATGCTAAAAATTACTTTTAAGAAGTTGAGTTCATAACTAATGTAAACATTATTACATATTCTGTTTGCAAATTTTTATTTAATATGCATTTTTATTCAATGTCGGGTTTATGTAGGTTGACAGTATTATTTAGTATTTGAATTTGGGTGGGAGATATATTTAATAAGCAATGAGTGTTCATTTTACTATTCTTTCAACTTTCATATATGATTAAAATTGTTCCAAGTCAGAAATTGGGAGCATAAAAAGATCATTTGTTTTTCTCCAACACTTTCATTGGTCTATTCCTTTAGATTTAATTTATGCTAAGGTAGTGTAGTGGTTACGAATCGGGCTGCCAACCTTAAGGCCAACAGTTCGAAACTACCAGTGGCTCCGCAGGAGAAAGATGAGACATTCTGCTCCCGTAAAGATTTACAGCCTCAGAAACCCTGTACAGGGTCGCTATGGGTTGGAACCGACTCAACGGCACTTAACAACAACAACAACAACAATGAGACTTGAAGCAGTTTATGTATGAAGAAGTAGAGTCAAACAAGTTGATTATAAAGATCTGCTCTTCCTAATTTTAACTTTCTGTGAAAATGTTACCTTTCGGTTCCAACACATGGTTTTTTGTGTACCAGGAGATTTAAGTGTTACACTAAATCTGTGCTTTTTCAAATAAGTCTTATATGTTTTGAAAGTGGTCAGGAAAAAGTATGTATACACTGGGATTTTTTAGCCTGTTGAGAAGCACAGTATTTTAGACATTGAGATGAAAAATTCCCTAAAACATTTCACAAACAAACTTTATCTTAGTCCCCAAGAAAATAATTTGATAGACGACTTGAATTTTTTTTTCCTCTGAGTTTATTAAAAAGCCCTTTAACTTTCCTTGTATATCTTTTCAAAACAGTGATTAAAAGACATATATTCTACTCAGAGTTGAGACTTCACCTTGGTTTGTGTGAGCTCTTAATATCCTTTGGCATGTATCTGTGCTTTTGTGTAGATTGCAGCACTTGACATGCTTAAATTTAGTTTGCCATCTGGGTCAATTATGTCAAAATATTTTCCAGTTGAAATTTCCTCTCTGCTTCTCTCTTGCTTTTGGCTGGAGTACTATAATAGATTAATTGCCCTTGGATAGCTGAACTGTTTTACTTTATGAAGAATTGTCACTGATTCTGGAAGAAGGATTGTTTAGGTCTTTGACAGGATTTTCAGCAAGTCCTTCATTGGTGAACACAGGAATGCAGTGAGCTTAGTATATTTTTAATTTACTGGGACATTTTATTCTTGTACTTGCTTTAGAGATAAATTGTAAGAAATAGATTCTATTTGCATCAAAACCTGTTGTTTATTCAAAGCAGTGTGCATTTCAAGTTAACTATTCTTCATTTTACTAGATCATCCCTGTTGTTCTGGTATCAAAAGTACAAAATAATCTAAGCTTATAAATTTCAACTTCATTTTTAAATCACTGTTTTAAATTTATATAGATCCACTTTATAAATACTGTTGTTGTTAAGTGCCATTGAGTTGATTCTGACTCATAGTGATCCTATATAGGGTTTATGAAGAGTGACTGGTAGGTTTAAACCACAGGTGGGTTAGTAGTCCAGTGTTTATCCTACAGCGCTATACCAGGAAAGGCACACTGTGAGTTAGAACTGACTCTGTGGCACTCAATCACAACAGCAATCTTTATATCAATAGATATCTAAGTCTTTTCTTACATAGAGCAGCAGGTGGGTTCAGACCACCAACCGTTCACTTAGCAACCTAGTGCTTAACCATTTAATATATTTGTTGTTGTTATTAAGCACTGTCCTGTGGATTCTGACTTTTTACCAAGAGTAGGGTTTCCAAGGAGTGGCTGGTATGTTTGAACTGCTTACTTTGTGGTTGTCAGTTCAGGGCTTATCTTCCACCGACTCTTTAATAATTAAGATTTGGCACTGCCAGAGAAATATGAACCTGATGAATTAAACAGAAAAATACTGATGGTTGAATGGTATAGAATTTGAAATTTAACTACTTATGTTTAATTTGTGCCCTTGAAAGTATACTCAATGAAAAGACCACTTATTCTAAGATTCAGAAAGCTTTGAGTTGATTCCAGACCCTGGAAAATTTTAGGTTTATGACCTTAAACAAAAGTCTCAGTTTCTTTATTGAAGGTCTTTTGAAAGAATAACATTAATAAAAGGTAAGGGAAAGTGTTTGGAGGGCTTAACTCCCTACACTTTAATTGTGGGCTACACACAGTTACTTCCAAAGAATCCAGTGTGGAAGGGAAAAGGGAAAGAGCAACGCTGAATTGGAGAAACGTGATAAGCACTGCCTCAGACAGATGATCAAGGTTAACATCTTCAATGATAACTCATGTGAATAGTGTGCATGTAAGCCTTTTTATAGTAGTAATGATTCTTTCTATAGTATTTCTCCTAAACACTCATTGTTATGGTTGTTTAGTGCTGTGGAGTCAGCTCTGACTCATAGTGACCTTGTGTAGAGTTTCCAAGGAGCTGGTGAATTTGAACTGCAGACGTTGTGGTTCAAACCGACCTTGCGGTCCAACGGATTATCCAGTAGCGCCACACCAGGACTCCATAACTCCTCTCTAACCATGAGAAGTACGTGAGACAAACGCAAATTGAAGGAAATTCTGTAAAATACCAGATCACTACACTTCAAAACTATGAGGACCATCAAAAATAAAACAAGTGCTGTTGCCAAGAGATGCCTAAGGAGATGTGATGACTCATAAATGTAATGTGATATCCTCGGTGAGATCCTGGGATACAAAATGACATTTAAGTAAAAATGCAAGAAAATATAAATATAAATGTTTTTAGGTGCCATCAAGTTGGTTCCGACTCAGAGATCCTTCTACTTAGAATGAGACATATCCTGGTCCTGCGTCATCCTCACAATTGATGCTTGCTATGCTTGGGCCCATTGCTGCTGCCATTATGCCAATCCATCTCATTGGTGGTTTTTATCTTTTTCGCTGATCATCCATTTTTACCAAGCATGATGTCCTTCTCCGGAAACTAGTTCCTCCTGATGACATGTCCGAAGTATGAGAGATGAAGTCAGGCCGTCTGGTCAGATTTCCAAGTAAGAGCATTCTGGTCTGACTTCTTCCAACACAGATTTTTTTATTCTGGCAATCCATGGCAACTTTTAATATTCTTCTCCAGCACTGTAATTGAAATGTATTAATTTTGTACCGTCTTCCTTATTCACTATGTAACTTGCACATGTATATGATACTATTGAAAATACTATGGCTTGGGTTAGGTGCACTTTAGTCCTCAAGCTGTATGTATGGACTGTGTAGTTAATAATGAAAATGTATCAATGCTATAACGACCCTGTATAGGGTTTCTGAGGTTTAAAAATCTTTGCAGACGCAGAAAGCCTCATCTTTCTCCCACGGAACCACTGACTGCCTGAAACCACAGACCTTGTGGTTCATACTCCAGTGCTTATCTACATCATAACCACTGCACTCCCCAGTGTATCAATGTTATTGTTATTGTTAAATGCCATTGAGTTGGTTGTGACTCATAGCAACTCTATAGGAGAAACACAGTACATGTTGTGCGGATAAATGGAAATCCTTTTTATGATCTGTTCAATTCTGTAAATCTAGAGCTGTTTTGGATTCCTGGTGTGGTGCTATAACTGGATTGCTAACTGAAAGGTTGCCAGTTCAAACCCACCAACAGCTCCTTAGAAACACTACATAGTCACTGTGAGTTGGATGGCACTTAACAACAAGTGTTACGTTTTTTGTTTTAAAGCTTTTTATTGTGAACTGAGTGAAGATTT